GAGATATAAAAGCATTAACAAATGCTTTCCATTGGTTGAGAAACTTCTTTTCTGGGATGCTAAGAAATGCTTATTCCCTTTTAAGGTTATAGTGTTAAGCCAATGTTTGATTAAAGTTTTACTGGGGAACCAATGGATTTATTGAGCTTACTTACCAAGGTAACTGAGGGGTTCCTGAGGTGTATGAATGACCTGATGGTATACACACTGGAAAGCCTTTACCCAGCATGGGTCATGCCTTCTCTTCCTAGCCTTCCCCAGATTGTATCCTTTAGCCCTCCCCAAATCCAGGAGGCCATGTGTGATTAGGGTCAAATTACATACAGTTGGCTGGGAAGAATGGCTGGATAATCCAGTGAGGGTTGAATGACCCTGCTTGTGAGGGTTGAATGACCCTGCGTGGTCCTCTTTTAATGAATGAGCACAACCGTCAACAAGCCCAATTGTGACGATGTTTAGTGATCAGGCACAGCTGAAGTCCTGATGATGGTAGTGGAGACTGCTGGACAGCATTATTAAAAGGACCTGGAATTTAAAAGGATTTGGTTCTAGGATCCACATATGAGGGAGAACATATGTCGACTTTTTTTCTGAGTCTGTGTTACTTCACTTAGTATAACAGTTTCTAGATCCGTCCATTTACCTGCAAATTTCATCATTTCATCTTTCTTTACCACTGAATAGAACTCCATTGTGTAAATGTACCACATTTGTGTTGACTACTCATCAGTTGAGGGGCACTTAGGTTGCTTCCATCTCTTAGCTATTGTGAAAAGAGCAGCAACAAACATGAGATAACCTATTTTCCCCTTCTTTGCTTGGACCTCTTCGCACCCTCTCATCCTCCCTGGGAAAGGACTGTTACTTAGCTTAGCTGTGAGTAATCTTTTCGTAGTCAGACTGTTACAAATGGACTAAAGGAATTTGCAATTGAGTTGAATCTGTTGTAAATTTTGTTTTTGCTATTATTTAAAGAAAAACTGTTGAGCTCATCTTTTTAAGCTGACATCAGGAATGATGAGACTTTATTGAATACATATTTTAACATACATTTTCATATATCTTGGTTGAGAAGGAGGAAGAGAACCTAAGGAGGTAATAATAACAGCTTAGAGTCAAGTATTCTGTTTGGAACGTATATCTGTAGAAGGTACCGTGGGCTTGCAGTCTATGTAGTGTGTATAGCATTCAACCCATGAAGCATGAAAATACTTCCATGTTCTGTGTGTTTTTTCTCCCAAGTAGTGCACTGGTAGTATGTTGTAAAATCTCAGAGGGAAGGATTCAGTGAACTAATAGTTTCACTTCTTTATCCAGCAGACATTTTCAGAATGCCTCCTGTGTGTAAGGTCCTCTGCTACCTTCTGGAATGTTGAAAGGTGTCCTGAGAGCACAATCTGTTGGATTATGTGCCAAACTGGGGGCTCCCAGACCCAGTGATCACTTCAAAAATGGACAGAGTAGCCAATCACATAGAAATAAATCAAGGGAATTTTTGTCAAAAAATATTTGGGAGCTTTTATCTAATCCTTAAAAGATGTTAGGGTTACCTCGAGTTGTCAAAAGCCCCATAAATAAATAAATCAAAGAAGAAGAAAGAGTACATGAAGTTATCAGAAAAAAATGATGGGGATATATGGGAGGAGTTAGAGAGGAGGGTGTGGGCATGGATTTGATCAAAACACCTTCTATGAATGTATAAAATTCTCAATAAATTATTTATTAAAAAATAAAAAAATACAAATAATGGGGTATAAAAAAAAAAGCCCCATAAATAAATAAATCAAAGAAGAAGAAAGAGTACATGAAGTTATCAGAAAAAAATGATGGGGATATATGGGAGGAGTTAGAGAGGAGGGTGTGGGCATGGATTTGATCAAAACACCTTCTATGAATGTATAAAATTCTCAATAAATTATTTATTAAAAAATAAAAAAATACAAATAATGGGGTATAAAAAAGAAATGGATCAAGGGCATTTTAAACATTTGAAATATTAAATTATCAGATTATGCAAAGCCTTATTATTCACTGTGTTAAAGCTTGCTGGTGTGATTTGTGTTAGAATCTAAAAAGTTTTATTAACATATATTGATTGCACATATTAATGGGGTTCAGTGTGATATTTTGATACATGGATACAATACCTCCCTTTATCCACTATCTCATCCCCTCCTAACATCTAGCAACCACTCTTCAAGTCAACTTTTGTTTTTTAAATTTTTACATATGAGAGAGAACATTAAGTATTTACAACAACATATGCCTTCCACCTCTATCATTTTTCTGCAAATGACAATTCCATTATTTTGTCGCTGAATAATATTTAATTATGTATGTATGTTTGAATGTATTTTTCTAAATTAACAATTCCAAGATTGATCTTTATATGGGAATTTAATTTATTATTTATTTAATATCTTTTGTATGTGTTTAGTGTATGTGTATGTTTGTGTTCATATGTGTGCATGTGCATATGGAGGTCAGAGGTTGAGTCTTCTACTGTACTCCACATTATTATTGTTAATTATCATTATTAATTTTGAGACAGGGGTCTCCCTATGTAGCCCTGGATGGCCTAGAATTTGCTTTGTAGATCATGCTGGACTCTACCTCACAGAGATCCGCCTGCCTCTACCTCACAAGTCCTGGGATTAAAGGCATGCACCACCTGGCTTTTCATCTAATGTTTTTAAATATTTTTATTGAATTTTTGAGAATTTAATGCAATGTATTTTTACCATATTCAGACCCCCTCCTCTATCTACACCCCCTTACTACCTCCACCCACTCAATTTCATGTCCTCTATTATTTTTTTATGGCCTATCAAGTCCAATTTGTGTCTTCAAATGCCCTTTAGTGTAGGTCCATCCCCTGCAGCCTGGCCAACTTACCCAGCATCACAGCCTCAAAGAAAACTTTTTTTTTTTAGACAGATTTCTTATCAAACCTGAAGTTTACCCATTGGCTAGACTAGATGGCCATTTAGCTCTAGGGATGTTCTTGCCTCCCTCCAGCCCCAGTGCGAGGGTTATAGACATGCACACCACACCAGCTTTTATGTGAATGCTGGGGATTCAAACTCCAGTCCTCACACTGGCACAGCAGACAGTTTATTGACTGAGCCAACTCCCCAGCCATATAGTCATTCATCTGTTAATTGGCAACTAGATTCATTCCATATGTTAGCTATTACAAATGGTGCTGCAGGGGCTGGAGAGATGGCTCAGTGGTTAAGAATACTGGTTGTTCTTGCAGAAGACCTGGGTTTGAATTCCAGCACCCACATGGCAGCTAACAACTGTCTGTAACTCCAGTCCCAGGGGATCCAACGGCCTCTCTGTCCTCTGCGGGCATTGCACGACATGGGTACACTTACCTTCATGCAGGCAATACACTCATACACATAAAATAAAAAAATAAAAATAAAAATAATCCCAAATGGTGCTGCAGTAAACATAGGCCTGCAGATATCCTTTGGTATGATACTTTCACTTCCTCTGAATATGTACCTAGAGCAGAGACAGCTGACCTAGGAGCTTCCATACTGTTTTCCATATAGTTGCACTACTATATGCTTCCTCTGATGTATGAGAAGTCTTTCTCCACGCCCTCACCATTATTTTGACCTTCCTTGTTTAAATTTCTTGCTAGGCATTTAAATATTTTTGTACCTATTGTAAATGGCTGTTTTTCATAGTTTCTCAGCAATCTCATTATATGTCTATAAAATGCTATTGATATTCAGATGTAGATTTTGTATCCTGAAACACTACTGAATTTAGATATCAGTTCTAATAGTCATTTGGTAGAGAACTTATGTTTTTTATATTTACTGTCATATCATCTACAAACAGGAATCATTTGATTTCCACCCTCCACATCCCTATATTTATTTATTCATTTTTCTACAGTGGATTCAAAGCCATGGTCTCCTGCATGTTAGGCAAACGTTCTACCCCTAAGCTCTACTCCCAATTTGTTTGTTTTTTT